GTTAAAAAAAATAGTTTATGATTTTTTTCATAAGTTTGGGGGAATTTGCGAAATCTTATTATTTGAAAATGCGCGCAATCTTCCTCCGCCGGGACGTTCGTTAAAATTGGGACGGTACAGAGAAGATTAGCGTCGCCCCTGCGCAAGGATGATGGCACGCATAAATCGAGAAATGGTCCAAATTAAGAAAATAAAATAAAATGCGCACAAGCGACTCCTTGATATGGATCGCCAGGTTCGTTGTTTTTGTTTTTTGTGTTTTTTTTTAATATGTAATAATTTGATTTTTGATCTTTTTTTTCAAGGAAAACTGGCGAAATAGTATTTAAGAATGGGCGCGATCGACTTGTTGATATGGATCGTCAGGTTAGTTGTTGTCGTTGTTTTTTTCAATCGTTCTCTTAGATTTGGGAAAATTTGCGAAATAGCCCTGAAAGTTCACACGGATATATGCTAAAATACCCCTAGAAGATTTGGGTAGAGCAGCATACTTGTGAAAGTTTTGTGAAATGCCCCTCTTTGGATTTAGATCCTTGCGTTGTCCCTGTGTCAGGGGGTGCCAACTTTGTGTTATACCCCTGTCAGGGGCAGAACGCAAACTTGCGCGACCCCCTGACAAGGGTAGAACGCAATTTAAATCTTTGCGCTATATCCCTGACAGGGGCAGATCGCGAACGTGCGCAACTCCGTGACAGGGGTAGAACGCAAATATTTAAGTCCAAAAGGGCATTTGACAAACTTTTTGAAAATTTTCAGAGGGGTAATCCGCTCTTCCCACATCTTTTAGATTTAAGTCCAAAAAAGGGCATTTGACAAACGTTTGAAAATTCTGAGGGGTATTCCGCTCTTCCCACATGTTTTAGGGGTACTGTAGCGCATACGTAAACTTTCAGAGGTATTTCGCAAATTTTCTCTTTTCCTTTTTTTTTTTTTTTTCGTCTCCAGCTTCGTTGACAAGTCGTAAGTGCCCTGCTAACTTTCCCCGAACACAGCGCACCCCCATTCTGACTGTATCAGACCGAAAAGATAGCTTGTATACAGTCGGGATCACGGGGCGTGGAGTCAGTGGAAGACGTTAGGTAGTCTTCCTGTCGCTTGCTGGTACCGTCTTCTCCCGGGGGATTACCGAACACAGCGCACCCGCCTGATGAGTGTACCTGACCGGAAAACAAACTCGTATACATGTTAATCAAACCGCACCGGGGTTCGTTTCATTGAGAAGAGGGAGGTCAGAAAAGAGAAAAAAAAGAACAAAAAAGAACAAAAAGTAGAATAGCAGGGTCGGCATTTTCGTTGACCAGTCAGATAAGTCCCCTACCAGCTCTTCCCGCGGACATGGCGCACCATAGCGCACCACCTCTGTCATGACTGTATCGAAACGGAAATGTATCTTGTATTCATAGATTCATTGACAAGGTGCGCGTTGTGTTCGCGAGAAAAAGAGCGCAAGGCAACCCTCGTCATGTCGGTATCGGGACCCGAAAGATTAGAAGCTTGTGTACACTCGTGCTCAGGGGGGGGTTGTAATCGGGGGAAATTTGTAGTCGTCCTTTCTCCTCGTTCATCTTGCTGCGTCTGTCGTAAATCAATCTCCCCCCTTCCCCCCCCC